CTGCCCCAGATAGTAGATGAAGACACTATGAGTTTAGTTACTTCTCCTCTTATATGTGACATTAAGAGTCAAACACAACTTTTACTGACATCAAAGCCCATACATGGTCATTAAACCATCATGCGACAGACATTGTTCATACACATTCACAAATCTATTGTAAGCCAGACACTGAACACTATTGGACAAGACTCAGCTCTTGCCTTTAGTCTAGTGAGGGTGGGAAGTCTGATGGCAAGGATGAGAACGCGAGGCCACGATAGCAGAGAGAAAGGTGCTAAGTATATTCTAGAGAGGTCGGGCAAAGCTACCCGGAGGAAGCCACACTTGGGCAGAGATCTGAAGAATGAGTCAGAGTTAGCCAGCAAGCTGGTGAGGAACAACAATCAGCTGGCACTCGCTCCCTGGTGTTCTGTGCTGGAACTCCAGAGCTGCCAACACTAACTTCATGCCAGGTGACAAATGATCTGAGTGCCCACAGCTGCAGCTGCCGCTTTCTACCCTGTCCCTCCTACTCCCATCCTTAATGAGCCTGAGAGCAGAAAACAATACATCTTAGGAACCAAGGGCTCTATGTTAGCTTTCGGACTAGAGAAAGAAGAGAAGTTCTTCACTGCTGTGAACAACAGGACAGCCACAAATCCTTTGTTAGTTTCCTCTGGCATTTGCTAAAATATTATAGAAGTTTACTGCTGCTAACTCTCATTTTTATACATCGTGGTGGCAGGCTGTTGTATGCTCATAAATATACTCATTACAAAAAATACGTGACTTCTCCCCCAACCCCACCCCCACCCAGGAAGAGCTCTGCCGCCTGTCAGTGCCCCTAAGGTTCCTTAATGTTCATTCTTGCTGCTAGGACTGCTTCTCATCACCCCCCTTTCAGCAGTTCTGACTTCGCAATATTCTACCTGCAGTTACACAACACCCAGGAGACACAGGTTTGCCAGAAGGTATCTATTCCAGATAGAAATAGCTTTACCAAATAAAGGCAGCTCTGTGCCTCTATAGATACCTCCATATTTCAAACATTATTGAAAAGAAAACCATCTCATTTTAAACAGTTGATTTGAGGAGAAGAAACTTCCTCTTTCTAACTGTGGTATATCGAGTGTAATAGTCTCAGTATACAGAGCTTCTAGAAAGACTGCCATTTTGCCCCTTAGAAGTCACTGCTCTATGACATCTACTTATTTAAACTTGTGTGAAAAAAAAAAGGAGTTAACATTTATCTAGTTGTCAACAAACAAACTTCAGTGCTGTCTGTGTCTGGCAGTGTGTTTTGTATAATAGGGAGATTCAAAGAGAGCAAGGAATTTCTTTTCTTCCTTTCAGGAGTTTACAGTCTGGTTGGAAAAGCTGAAAATCGTGTTAAACTGATTCAGCGACTTTGACTAAAAAAAAAAACAGTGACATCAGGACACCAGAGGAAGAAGAAAACTTTTGTCTGCACTAAAAAAGAGGAGCACAATATGGGACCCAGGAGTAGAAAACGTCCACTCTATGCACATATTTTACATTTGTGCAGTTTTTGAATGCTTAGCCTTCTGAGGAATAAAGAAAAGCCCCAGTATGCTTTCCAAGGCATTGTTTTTGTATCTCTCAAAATGTTCATTTAAAGAAAACCATATGCTTTCCTGAAACATGTTTTTAAAAACATAAGTTAGGGAATTTTGACCAAACTAACTCCAGTATATGAAGAAAAGTCTATTTCAACTGTTATTAAAAAAAAATAAAAAATCAAAAGAACAGCTTTAAGTCAACCACTAGGGGGGAAACCTGCAGTACACACTGCAGTATATTTCTCTGAAACTGAAAATCCAGCTTTATTTGAACAAGATATGCTTCCTCTAACCCATTAGTCTATAGGTCCAGCCCTGCCCAGGGCTTAGAATAGGTCAAGTTCTAGGGTCGCTATATCTTACTACCTCCTCTCACATGAGCTAAAAATAAAGCATTAACAGCAGGGCCAACAGAACAGAGACCAGGACACTGACACTGTGATGAAAGTAAAAGCCTGACTCTGCGCAGGTTAGCTCATGTGAAACAAACCCCGCATTCCCAGTTTAACTGACACATATAAGTCCCATCAACGCAAATTTTTACACTGAGAAATTCCACCCTTGTGTTTTTTAGATGAATCATATGAAGGTAAGTGAAGCTACATAAATCTTTAGCACAGAAGAAAAAAGTCATTCCTGGGCAAAAGGGGAAACACCAGGTGTTTATTTGTTTTTTAATGTTTTTGGTTTGATGCTATTGTTTATTTGGCCTTTTCACTTTTATGACGTACACATGCATGTATAACTTAGATGAGTGAACCTCATTTATAAGTTTATAAGTTTCTTTAAAATGTCTATTTTTATTTAGTATCATCCTTTCAAATGACAACAATTATTTTTTCTTCATTCGTTTCTTTTCATATGCCCGTCCCTGTCCATAAAAGGTACAGATACCATTACACAGGGACAGAGAAAGAAACTACCCCTGTGTATGGTGCTGGGACCTCAGGCATGCTACCTCAGAGACCCCCAAAACTATAGAAGCAAATAGCAAAAGATCTCTTAAGTGATCACTTTGCACCCCCAGAATTATAAAGGGACTCTAGAGAGTTTGCACTAAACTAAGTTGCAGACAACCAAAAATTTGGAGCATCCACGTAGAGAGATAAATATACATTTCAGAGTGCAAAGGGATTCCTAAAACTCTTCAACTCTTTCCTTGAATTTATTTGCTTAACATGTGTTACTACATATCCACTATATGTCTACTGTAGAGATATGAAGATGAACTGGTAAATTCTGCCTGAATAATTATGCAGTTTGTAATTATCTTGATAACCCTTTTAAAAATGTGAAGGCAAGACTATTCATGAAAGAGGTTAAAAATAGAGTCAGATTGAACATCAGTAGTGGCTATTCTAGGGAACTTGCTTTGCATTACCTGCACCATAATGGGATCAGCTAGAACAATAGCTCTAAAGACTTGGTGAATTTTGAGGATGTTAATCCCAGGTGACTATCAGGAAAACTAAATGTAAATAATATAGGATCCTGGCCTTATCCTCATTTACTATTCATTCACTCATTTGTACAGTAGATAAATATTTTTCAAGAAATGTCTAGGTTCTGTGGATACAATACTGAAAAATGAAAAAGACTTCCGCCTCTTGGAACTTATATTCTAATATGGTAGATACACAATAACTACATTATAAAGTTATTGTAAAACTTCATTCTGGCTCTCACTATTATGCATGGGACTCAATGTTTCTAAAAAAGCACCGAATGCCTGTATTGTTAGTGGTCCTGGGTATGAACTAATGATGAAATCCACACTTTTCAGCCTGATGTTCAAGGCCATCTCCAATACTGCCCCATTTACCTGTGCAATATTATCTCTTACAGCTCAGATCTGAGGTCATTCAGTGAAGAAAGCCGTACCCAACACAGACTAAATGTCTGACTGAACATTATCATTGTCACCCACCAAAATTGCTCTTTCTACCCATCCCAAGAGGAGTGCCTTGCAAAATAAAGCACTTAGCAAAAACCCTCAGTCGGATTTCTCTCTCCATTTAAGTGTTATGCACTTTGTGCATGTCCCTCTCTAATAACATTTATTTAGATTTGTATTTTACTGTAGATTCATATTCACGAATATGTCCATTCTAGTCATTTGACTGGCAACCTTTTGAGGGCAGGGCTGTTTCTAAGTTTTCTTGGTATCTCAGGCTTTATTTAGCATACTGTCTTACATAGTTAGCTCCAATGCATAGCTCTTATGTTGAATTGTTTTGTATTTGCTTGTGTGCAATGGCAGAACATAAAATTCAGTATCTGCTTCATGCACACATTTGTTATGAGAGAATACATAAAAGTTTACAAGCAGTCTAACAGAGTAATAATACTAAGTAATACTAAGTAATAATACTAAGAGTAAAACCTCAGCCTCTGTTATTTCCAGCTTAGTTTTGAGCTTTTGAGTCCTTCAATTTTCTGGCTACTTTCTAATGTAAACTTCCAGTCAGAACTCTCAAGTTTTCAAAGCTCTTGTGAATTGCAGCTATTAGTAACCTCAAGTCCAGAGGACCTATATTTATATATCTATGCATTGCGTGTGCACGTAATCACTTTAGCCAATGTTATAGGGTCAAGTAAAAAGAAAAAAAGAAAAAGAGAAAAAAAGAAAGAAAGAAAGAAAGAGAAAGAAAGAAAGAAAGCTTTCCCCAGAATATAAAAACACAGAAAACTAAGTGCTAGATGAAACTGGAGAAATTTAAAATGTAACAGTGAAAGTACTTCCTTTAAATTCAGATTTATTTATGGGGGCAATAGACGATCTTTATACCAAGTTACCTAGATAGACATATTGTTTATGAAGGTGGAAAAATCTATCCATATGTTACACACTTTTAAAACTGTGCAATAATTCTGCATCGAGGTCACACATATATGGTATCGTCTGCACACACACAACACACACATTCACATGGCATATTAGACCATACAAAATGTATACACAAGGTATGTATTTTTTATCATACTGTCGGCACAGCCACATAACGTTCTTTCTGTTACACAGATGTGAAAACCATTCATATTTTACAGGTGTGTTTAATGTCTGTACCCACAGGTAAAAGTGATATAATATCTAGTCCACAGTAGTTATATATATATATATATATATATATATATATATATATATATATATATATAGTCTATTGTCTTTTAAAAAAAGTATTTTGGTGCTATTATCATGTGTTTCTCTAAACCATTATTCGGGCATATTTCTATCAATAAACAATGTTCTGTAAAGCTCTTAATGTATCTTGTTGGAAAAATGAACGATTGCAACCCAAGTCCCCATGATCCAGGTGAAAATGAAATGACTGTCTACACATAGGCACGATTCAGGACACAGAACATTTGGTACACAAAGAATGATCAGACGGGTTCCTACCCAGCACAATTCCATTCAGTAGTTTCCCTTGCACGTACCAGCTCAGCTGCCCATGATCCATGCTGCTTTTAAATACTACAAAGCAACGTATACTCCAACTGCCGCCCGCTTAAGTTCTTCCTTTTGCGCTCAGAAATGGATACACTTGGTCAGTGAGGGATGCCCTGTTGCAGCCGCCTCTCCGAGTCCTTCAGCATCCCACCTCTCGGCTGCACCGGGTTAAGCCCTGCCGCTCCAAGCTCATTCTCCTAAACTGCCTGCAACTGGTCGGCCACAGGGCGGAGAGAACGGGCACAAGGGCGCCCTCTGGAGGCGCCTAGAGGCAGCTACAGCAAACTTGGAACAACTAAGTAGAACGAGGCTGTCAGCACATTCTTTGTTAAATAAGCATACTGTTTTTATTTACACTTTCCTGTGCACATTAAAGCAATTGGAAAACAACGCAAGAAAGGCTCATTCTGTTGCCTATGGATATTCTACTTCTTTCATACTTCACAATAAAGTAAAAACCGTGATTCATGTATGTGTACAAATAACGAGATGTCATATTATCTAGTTCTTGACTCATTCCAGAGAAAAATAATTAACACTGGCTACTATCAGAAGTTTCCAGGATTTTGGTATTTAACTCAAAGGCAGCTTTCCAAAAGAGAAATGCACGCCTCTGAACTAACACAATGTAACTGTGTTCAACATGCCCTGCTACTTAACGAAATTATTGTACAAACCTTACCTCTGGAAATGTTTAGCGTGTCCTTATCAATGCATTATACTGACTTGAGTATGATAACAAGGCAAAACAGTTTCTGTTATAGTTTGTGTGATAAGGTGTTCATATGACTTTAATATTTCAACAATAGCTCTTTGAATTAATTTCCCTCTAAATATCTCCCTAAGCGTCTTTCCCTTAAAGAGGATAATTTGTATACCTGAATGAGATATAAGCTTAATTAATTAATTGAATAGAGCACTTAAAGGATTATCTACTCTGATATGCATTTAGAAATGTGATTACTGGATGTTTCCTTATTCCCTACAGATCAAAATGAACATCACTATTCCTATCCATCACCCCTGTCCTGACTTCCACCAGGCATCAAAATTTGGGATTTCATTTTTCCTTCAAAATTAAAATTAGACTTTTAACCTACTGAATAAGGGACCTATCTACAGTGATTGTACATTTTTCCAGGCAAATGTGGACAAGAGTCTGATTACATACCCTGTGGGGCCCCTTTGGGAAATAGAAACTCTTAATCACTTCAGTTTCAAATCAGTGTTTGAGAATTTCTGGCAGGATAAACACTGAAAAAATTTGTTTCATCAATATTTCATCTCAATTTTTTTTTATTTCCATGTGTATGATAAATGAAAATATTGGATTTTCAAACACATACCATTAAACATATTCTAAAGTAAGGTTTTTCTTTTAAATAGGATATGCACCAAATATTCAAACCATAATTTTTGTGACTATGTAAAGTGTCTGAAAATGTGTGTGCTGGTGGGAATAAAAAATATGTTAATTATTCATGTCTCTATACCCTCAATTCCTAGCACCGTGGAATCTAAAAACATATTAGTTAATGATTGGGTTGTCGAAAAAGTCATGACGCATGTTTGCAACAGATGGCACTAGTTCATTTTTGGAAGTACTAGAGTCATTCGCATCTATGTTATTGCTATGTCATTTGACAGCTGACAGTGCTAGCTTCATTCTAAAAAAAAATTGAGTGATTTGGTTGAGTTTGGGAGATTTTACAAGTTGAAGATGGAAGATCAAACTGTGCATTTCTGCCATATTTTACTGTTTTACTTCCATAAAGGAAAGAACGTGCATCAAGCTTGTGAAAAGTTGCATAAAGTTTATGGTGACAATGCTCTACAAGAACATCAGTGCCAAGGATGGTTCACGAAATTCCATGCTGGTGATTTTGATCTCAACAATGCTCAGTCAGGGAGGCCCGTCGAGGTTGGTGACGACAAAATAAAGGCATTGATCTAGTAAAACCCACGTTACACTATACAAGAGATTGCAGAAACATTGAACATCCGTCATTCAGGTGTTCACAACCACCTGACGAAGCTGGGATAGTTAAGCAAGCTTGATATTTGGGTTCCACATGAACTCAAAGAAGTTCATTTGATGGTGCATATAAACATCTGTAATATGCTCATTAAACGTGAGGAAAATTATCCTTTTTTTAAAGATTTTATTGGGGAATTTGGGGAGGGGAACAGACAAGTTGCTGTCCTTTTGTTCTTCAGTCTAGTTGTGGAGGACGTCGCTTCACTGTCCCATGTTGATATTATCATTGCACTCTTCCCAGGTGAGGCAGTCACTCACCAGCCATTGGACAGCCACTCACGGTGGCTCACAACAGCTCATGAAAGCTCATGCCTCCTGCCATCCCTGGCAACTCACAGCAGCCTATTTCCAGATTGAGCTGTTGTTCACCATCTAAGCTGTAGAGGGCACAGCATCACTTGCCCTCATGTGAGATCCAAACCGGGGCCCTGCTGCTCAGAGCTGGCATCCCAAGCCAACTCTTAACCAACACATCACTTGGTCAGTCTAAAATGATCCTGTTTTGAAGCGACTAATAACTGGTGATGAGATATGGATTGTTTACAACAATGTGGTGCGCAAACGGTCTTGGTTCGATGTGATGATTTGCCTCAAACAACATCGAAACAGACATTCATCAGAGGAAGGTTATGCTGTCAGTGTGGTGGGATTTTAAAGGTGTCATGTTTTTTGAGCTCCTACCAAGGAACCAAACAATCAATTCAAATGTGTACTTTTGGCAATTGGACAGTTTGAAAGATTATCCATCATCCAGAAACGTCCAGAGCTTCTTAACTGTAAAGAAATTGTGTTCCATCGCGATAATGCAAGACCACACACAAGTTTGATCACCCGTCAAAAATTTTGGAGCTTGGATGGGATGTGTTGCCACACCCACCATACTTGCCTGACCTTGCACCATCAGACTTCCACTTGTTTTGCTGTCTTCAAAACTCCTTGTGTGGTATAACGTTCAATTCAGATGAGGCTGTAAATCAGCACCTTGTTCAGTTTTTCACAAATAAAGACAGGTCTTTCTATGAATGAAGAATTATGAAGCTCACTGCAATATGGCAAAAGGTTTTCGAACAAAACGGACAATATATCATTGATTGATCTTTGTTCTTTATATAAATAAATGACCTTTGAAAAACATAGACAAAATAAGTCATGACTTTTCTGACAACCCAATAATTGACCCCTAAATTGTATGACATATTCTGCACTATGGTAAGTGTTGCATAGAATTTCTTAGAAAGGCAAGACACTCAAATGTATTTTAAGATTAAAGATACAGTAAGCAGGATAAAGAGCATTTAGAAACTTATAAATAATAAAGTAATAAACACTGACCATAAAAACGGATATGTCAAATTTTTACAAAGTAAAACTTGATACATGAATATTAAGAGGTGAGGTAACAAAGAAATAAATTATGGGATAAAATTTCCCAACATAAATGCTTTGGCCTTACAAAATCATTCTTTAAGTACTCATTCCCAGGATGTCAAGAATGGTTTTATTGAACCAATTAAGTAAATATTGACATGTATAAAGAGAAAAATAATTAAACATTAATAAGAGGGGTAGACATGTGAATTTCATAGCCAGGGTCATTGTGTCTATGCTCATCAGGACCAAAAGCTGCAAATGATAGGAGTTGACATGACAAGAAAAAGAGATGATTATGTTGTTAGGGATGGAAGAGAAATATTATGGCCATGTGTTGTCCCCTGAAAGAAGGTCTAAAGTTAGTCTTAAGATACTGAGACAAGAAAATACAGGAAAGGAATAAATCTCCAAATAGGGGTACATTAAGAAAACGAAGTAAGCTGTTTCTATTTTTACAATTTAGCATGCAAAACTCAAATAAAGAAAAAAGGTCCAAGTCAAAGTCAGAGTAGGGTCTAAAGAACTAAAATAACCTGGGGACTCTCAATATCTGCCTTTTACAATGAACTAGACTGAAGAATCTGTGTTTGTATTCTAATGCTAAATAACAAATTATCACAGCCTTACTGGATTTAAAAAAAGCACATTTATTATCTCAGAGTTTCTGTGGGTTTGCAGAGTGCACATGGTTTAGATGAATCTTCTGCACAGACTCACAAGGTTGCAGTCTGGGTATCACCTGGATTGTGTTCTTATCCAGAGATTTGACTGGCGAAAAATGTGTCTCTAAATTCAATCAGGTTGTTGGCAGAATTCATTTCCTCAGTTTCTTCAAGCCACCAGGAGAATGTGTCTTCATGTAGGGAGGGTGGGGCCCTAGTCTTTCTTTTGAGGACTCTCTACTGATTAAATCAGGATGACCCAGAATAACCCTTTCAATTAACTCAAAATCAACTGGTCTGGAACTTTTATTACATCTGCAAAACTTCTTCACGTTTGCCATTTTCTATTGGGTAGAAGCAAGTCACAGGTTCCACCCACACTTAACTAAAGGAGGGGATTTGCAAAGGTATGAGGCATTGTGGGGTCACCTTTGGGTGTTTCCACAATGGGGCCTCTGTAAGAACAGGTGGGGTTTCTTACTTGCAGTTCAAAAATATAAATGGAACAGCCTAGGAGGTGGGGAATGGCACTGCAGAGGCTTCCTGTTGCCTTTAGGATCAAGGCAGAACCATGAATTTATTATTTATCAAAGAAGTTTTACAGATGCACAGTTTATATGTAACACAGGAACGTAACAATGGAAAAAATCAGGGAGGTCATTTGATCAGGAAGGGACACGGAGGCAGAATGTTAATGCTTGGAATTGAGGATTTATGAGCAGGACTTGGGACAATAAAGAGCGCCAGTGTCAGTATGGCGGCAGTGGCTTCACGTGCTAGAAATGTCTGTGTTGTCTGGCTCCCTGCCCACAGCCCCTCACACCTAACCATCCATGCTCCGAAGTGGCTAAGTCTTATTAGCCCCGGAGTATACACCTGACCAAAAGAATACATCCAGAGGCTAGCCAGAAACGTGTGGCCTTACTGGAAAAATAAGCTTGTCCACTTAGATTTTCAGGAATGTGAACTAAACTAAAAGAGAGCAGTTGCCAGTTGATGGAGAATGCTGCAGCTGAAAGGCCATGTAGCAATTATGAGCTGTGTGCTAGCTGATGCAGAGAGAGCGGCTTAGCAGAAAGAACAAAATAATGGTGTAAACTCAGAAAGGAGT